CCCCAAAACCCCAAAACCCCAAAACCCCTTAAGATAAAAATAATAATTCTTAAGTGAGATATAAAATGAAATAAAACGATTTTGAAGAGCACTTTGACTCTGATAATCAAAATTCTCAATATGATGATAAAAATTAGCATTCTACAATGACAATACCAAGAATAAATCTCATTTCTAGTGAGGGCAATCTTATTGTGCCTAACACAGCGAGATTAGAGTCGAAGAAATTTGATAAAGATTTTAACTTGGATTTCTTCAAATTAAACCACAAAGAGATCAATAATGTCACTAAACTTCTAGTCAAAAATCTATCAAATCACTTAATTATTGGAACTAAGAAAAGATTACGCAGTTTGCAAGACAGATTGCAAGCGGAAGAAGAAGCGAAGCACTAAAGATCCAATACTAAGGGCCCAAGAAAGAAAGAAGAGAAGCATGAGGACATTCCTATCACTCAAAGATGGAAGAAGTAATCCTATTTGCATTTCAAACTACCACTTAACGACTTCATTGACAGAGAAAAATCTAAGAAAGAGGTAAGAACTGATAAGATACCTCAAGAAGTCTCAAACTACATTGAAATATGTCTTAAAGATAAAAAGCATAAATTTAAGGATCAGCAATAACAATCGATTCTGTAGTAAGACTAGTCAATGTTTGGAAGCACAACTGTGCTACACAAATAGTCATTAATGAATAGAGTTGTAAAATCATAACTAGGCAACTATCATAATAACTAACTCATGTCCAGAAGCAATTAGATTCGTAGTTCTCATAATAACATTCTTCTTAGCGATCAATAAGACTATCTTAGCAGAATTAATTCTCAATAAACTCATTTGCTGTTACCAAAATTTAATAATAACAAGAGACAACTCCTAGCCAATTATTATAAATCCATTAACAGATTAAAACTTAATGATGATCTATCTCAGACAATCACTTAAGACAGTACATTAACCACACCCTCTAAAATGGATAGATTAAAAGTGGAAAAAATAACTAGATAGTATAAAAAGATATTTGAAGGCTGTAAAACTGATAGAGGTATGACTAATATTGGCTTGACCCAGAGACAGAAGCATCTAGACAAGAAAACCGATAATTTGATACAGATCATAAGAGAATGTGACGACTTGAAAGATTCGTATCAAGAAGAAAAAAGGGAGATGAACGATTATCTTGATTAAGAATTCGAAAATTTCTAAAGAAGTCACTTGAGATAGAGAGATTTTGCCAAGACTAAAAAGCTTCTATATGTGAGTCCAAAAAACAGACTTAGTTTCGATAAAATTTTCCCCAATCTAAAATGAAGGAAGCAATAAACTAAAAATCAATTTAAAACTTACAATGAAATTTTATTAGAGTAATCTCTCAAAGTTTCACAGCTGAATTGAGTTCTCCTACTTTATATTCAAGATTTATTTCATTAATTACTTTAATTATAATGATTCATTAATGGGGTTTTGGGGTTTTGGGGTTTTGGGGTTTTGGGGTTTTGGGG